TTTTTCTTTGCCGTGTTGATTGGGGTTTTAAATTACAAAAAAGCACGATTTTCACAATTTTCTCTTCAATATTTATCAGAAACTACTTATTTTATCATGTTTATGTTAAGTTTCTTAAAATGTTATTGAATTTTATTGATTTTATGTGTATAAATTAAGAACTTTAAACAATAGAAAAAAATAATTTTTATTAGTGCACAGATCCTAATTATGATTTTTTTTGAAAGTGATTAAAAATATTTTTTGAGTGCATAAAACGTACTTAAAGAGTGCTTATTTTTTGTTGAAAAATCTGGCTATGCACCCTAAAATAAAATATTGTTTATGCAGGTTGTTGATGACCTTGAAATCACAGCTTGTTATGCTGGGCATGTATTGGGTTTTGCAATGTTTTTGATAAAAGTAGGATCACAATCAGTAGTCTACACGGTAAGTCTTTTTTTCTCAACTATTGTTATTGTAAATAATTAATTGGTTTATTGTTTCTTATATTTATTTTGATTGAGCTTTTGTGTTTTTGAAATGGGAGGAAAGCTAGGCTTTAAGTATTATAATTTTATTATTAGAATTATTTTTGGAAGGTCTGTAAAAAATTTATTTTATTCACATTGATTTGCATTCTACAACACAATACTTACCCATACTTGTCAGAACTATTTCAGTTTCTTTTTCATACAGTAAAGCCTACTAAGTTTATGTTATATCTAATTTGACCTCTTATCAGGAACCAAATTCATCCTATGTTGAAATAGAAGACCTTTTGCAACTCATCCTTCTCCCTATTTTCTTCTTATTATTATTGTTTTAATAAATAAATTTTGTAACACAAAAAAATGAAATTAAAATTGATGTAAGCTTAATTTTTTTTACAAATAATAAATAACATTACTAGGGAAATACCTATATTTCTCATTTTAGCTTATATGTAAGTTAACTATTATTTTATTTAGCAAATTGTAATTCATTTTAATATTTAATTAAACCTTTTAAACTGAATAAGATAGTTGTTAATTGAAAATCTAGTTACAAATTTTGAAATAATGTGGAAAATAAATTAACTTTTTTTTAATCTTTACTGGAAATAGGAATTAACAGATAAACAAGGAAATTTGTACTATCTGAGTAAACTACTATAGTTATGCACTGCTTATATATTATTATAAACTGCAGTACAGAAATACAGCTGACAAATTTATAAAAATATTAGCCGTTTATTTCTTTAAAATTTAAATTATGTTTATTTCTTAAAGTGTAGGTGTATCTGTAATGCGGTTTCTTTTATCCACATTTATGTTTTTACATTTCAACGCATGTTTTCTGTTCGTGCATATTCTGAAATACATCATAGGTTTAAGCACGTAGAATCGTGTATTCAGATTAATTTCTGTTTTAGGGGGATTTTTACACCACTCCTGATCGTCACTTGGGGCCAGGGTGGATTGATAAATGCAGGCCAGACCTGCTGATTACAGATTCTACAGATGGTACTACAATTAGCGACTCAAAATGTTATAGAGAAAGAGATTTTTTGACCAAAGTACATGACTGTGTCGAAAAGGTGGTAAAGTAAGTTTACAACTTCCTATTTCCTTAATTATCTTCAGTGTTGTGGATGTTCATCATTGAAATTTATCTTATTGACATGAAATTACAATAATTCTTTGTTATATTGTGCCTTCCAAGGGTCTAAAAGGAATCGAAGTTTAAAAGGGCATTAGACAATGTCTGTTAGGCTGAACTTATAAACTGTTTTCTTTTCAGCAAAAACATTTGCCTCAATCTTTATAACCAGGTCAATCAATCAGTTATAACCAGGAAAGAGATTAAATTGATTCTATTACGTAACAAATTTTGCTTGTTCATTTGTGGCGTGCATGCAAAGCTGTATTTTTTGATACAGAATAAGATTGAAGCAAATATTTATATTTTGGGTATAAACTTGAGTAAACCGTTAAATTTGTTGTATTTATCATCATCATTGGTACTGGCCTTCTCTAGAACATTTTCTCATATTGTGCTTCTTGTTACCAGATCTTGCCAGTTCCTATTAGGCTGAGCTTTCCTGCTGCAAAATATTCTCTGATTGTTTTGAAATCCGCATTAGCAGAGTTCATCCATCAAAGTTCTGGATGTCTTCAAGCTCTGATACTTATTTGTGTTTAAATATTTATTCATGTATATCATGTTATATGTATTCACCTACTTCAATATTCATTGAAGTAGGTGAGTTTTTATAAGGGAGTATTGTTTGCTCAACCTCCAACCTGTTTTCCTTTTTGTTTGGTGCCTCCCCTAGGGACTGTCTGGTTTGTCTGACATTGGCACAATTTTATCTACCACAGGCATGTATCTAGGGATCATCTACATGAACAAATTGCAGCACCGCACTAAGGTGAGAGCACTGTTGTTGCATTATGAAATAAAAAAAAAGCCTAGATATGTCTTAGATAGCCTAGAAGCCTAAATAAAAAAAGTTTAGACTTGTTTTGTAATGGAGAATAGCAGAAAGAGAATACTTATTTTTAATATAATGTTAATAAAAGGGACAGAGTTTGGAGTTTTCGCAATAGTTCTACAATTAAAGTCAGTACACAATGTTTTACCATAGTGTGTAGCATTTTTAAAAAGTGCTTAAAGGTGCTTATTTTGGATTTTCGTTTTTTAAAGACCCTTAAAAGTGTTTATAAAAAGTGCTTAATTTTACCTTTTCGAAAATGAGATTTTTTTCTTTACCTCTCTTTTTTCGCTACGTATCATGCAAAAGCGTGGATGTCACATTGTTCTATTCATTGCTTTCACAATTCATTCAACCGCAATCCATCTCATGTACCGTCGATCCATAAAGTATGATAGCGCCAATCATGTTGCATATTTGATGAAATTTTTGGGAGTGCGCATGTGGACTGAGTTGAGTTTGGTGTGATTCTTGCACTCTCGTGTGCAACTCTGCTGCAGTTTGCAAGGTATTCTCAATTTCAGACTTCATTTTCCGCCCTTTGAAATCGAACAGAAAAATCTCTCGATCTTTTTATCGTGCATGATATAATCAAGAAAAGAGTTCTTTGTCAGAAGTACTTAAAAGGTGTTTATTTTTTGTTGAGATATTTGGCTAAGCACCCTGTTTACTTATAGCTGTATTATATGTTGTAAAATTTTTTCCTATATTTAACCTAGTATTGTGAATTAAAACACATTTTACTATTGGTGGTTTTACTATGTCTGTGATTCTCATGTTCTTTCGCTTTTTTAAACATTTTCAATTTGAATATTGTAAAAAATTCTGTTTAACAAAGATTCCATTTTCACAGTTGATTTTTTTTTTATTCTGTCTAAACTTTTCTTTAATTTGAATTAGGTAGAAAAGCCTATTTGACAAGGATTCTGTTTTAGCAGTCTAATTTTTGTTGTTGTTTTTAACTCGTTTTTAATTTAAATGGTTTAGAAAAGCCTAATTTAAAAGGAATTAGTAACAATAAATGTGTGTCTTGGTGACAATAAGATACCCTACCCAGTGATGGGTATCATATCTTTAAAAAAAAAAACTATTATGTGTTGTTTTTTTAAAAAATTTACTTATAAATACAAAAGATCCCCTTTTTTAGTAGTTAAAAATCATTTAGTTTTAAAGAATTTCAAGTTTGACTATATTTTAAAGCCAAAATTTCTTTTATTTGTAATACATTTTTAAGCATTCCCATTTAAACAACTACTACTTGTTTAATGGATGATGCTAATTACTTCACCGTAGCAAATGCCCACATGAAAGACTAGTGTCTAGAGAAGTTCTTAAGATAGCATATATTGCAGTTAATTAATAGAAATGGAATGAAGAATCATTGATCATAAGTTTTTGTTTTTTTATCATAAAAAATACTTCTTCCTTTTTTAAATTTATCTAGATTAAATGCATGTAGTTTTTTTTTTTTTTAATAACATGTTATGTTATTAATTATTTGTACTGGTTTAAAATTTAAGAAGTAATTCGGATCCAGGACATTGAAGTAGAACTACAGAAATTTTTAGAATCTATACCTTTTATGTGTAGTGAAATACTAGTTATACAAAGCTTTTATATTGTAAAAAGGAATCTTTGTTTAAAAAAAAAAATTATTTTTTTCTAGTACTTTTTGGTCTGTGATATAGAAAAAAAATGCTTCTTACTATGAGAAATTGGTGACATTAATAAATTATGAGGAAAAGCGGTTAAAGCCTCTTTTTTTCTTCTTTTAATGTGAAATTTAACGATGTTTTGAATATTCCTTGTAGGCTTAAGAAATTTATCCTTCTATAAGTATATTAAGAAATATATCCTTCTATATATCTATAATTGTTTCTGAAATATTAAATTGAAGAAATACAATATATTTATCCTTTTCTGGTAAATTAAAGTTTTTTTCTGCTACCAATTATTTTGGAATTTAACCACTTCCTTCTCGCTCCCGTGAAAATGACGGGGTGAGTTTTTGTTCGCTGTTTCTCGCTACCTTGATATTGACAGGCTGGAGTGTTCAGTAGTAATGTGCCAATAAAAATAAAACTAATTCATTTCTTTTGCCCGGAAAACATTTTATTTCTCATTTTACACACCATACAGCAGTACCAGGATATTTTTAAGGTTATTGTAAGTAGTTAGTTTATATTAAACTAGATGCTAGCACTAATCAAATACTTGTATTTGGCAAAATAGACATTTTTATGACCGTTTTCTTGAAAATTAACCAATCATTAAGGGGTTAATAAAAAATTTTTTATTCTTGAAAGAACATGTCGTCTTTTGATTTTTGAAAGAAGTTTAGCAGCGTTAAATTACTTACGTAAATTATGGGAGAATTAACAGAATAAAAAGTTTCCATTACAGATTTTTCAGTTTTATTTTTTTATTCTTACAAATAATGAAATAGATATGAGGAGACAAATATATGGCATTTTCAGTACTGAGTATACATTTTCAATATCTGTCTACAGTGTTTTCATCATAGAAAAAAAATGGGTGAGAATTTCTCACCCTTTCTCAAAAACAGGGTGAGATTTCTAAAAACTGAAAAAATACAAATATAAAAAATTTCTTTCATTATAATACATTTTTAACGTCTTCTATTTTTTAAAGCATTGAATATTCTTGCTGCATCATCATAGAAGATTTTGCCTTTACTAGGTATTTGTCCATCTTACATTAGTGCATAAAAAATTTGAACGTCTTACATGAAAAAACCTTACCTGCGGTAAACACGTGGTTGCAGAGAAATGTGTTCTGAAAGGGGTTCCG